GGACATATTGTCAGGAGGGACCAGTCACTGGAGAAGGATATCATGTTTGGTTAGGTGGAGGGTCAGAGAAAAAGAGGAAGACCCCCAGCGAGATGGCTTGGCAAAGTGGCAGCATCAATGAGGTCAAGCGTGGCAACAGTAGTGAGGTTGGCCCAGGACAGGGCAGTGTTTCGTTCTGTTGTGCATATGGTCGGTATGAGTCTGTACCAACTCGATGGCACCTAACAACAACACCACCAAGGCAACTGTGAAAGAATGTAGTTGTAACATCCAGATTTTTCTCATATCAAAAAACTAAAAACCAAAACCCCTACCATAGAGTCAATTCAACTCAGTGATCCTGTATTTTGTGAGATTTTATTTCTTTATGGGAGCAGACAGCCTCATCTTTCTCTTGCTGAGCCACTGGTAGGTTAGAACCACCCACCTGGGATTAGTGGTTCAGTGATTATCCTACAGCACCCTCAGAGTTCTAAAAATTCACTGCTTTCAACTCTGCATGCTGAGGACCATGTGTTCTTTAAGGTTGACATTAAAAATCCCTATTAGTAACATGAGTTGACAGTTTTGATATGCAAATCTCAGAGTCCTAGATGCTATTTTATCCCCCATGGGCTCAGAGCATTTGCCAAGTGGGCAGACTAAGCTATTTCTAATCTTTTCCTAGTCAGGCCATGCCCTAGAGATCTTTAGACATAAACTGATATAAATATGAGACCCTTACACAAACCTGTCTGTCCAAAAGAGGATCTCCAAAAGGATGTGCAGGCTGGAAAGGCACTTTACGGCATTCAGGCCTTTGACCAGACACCTAGGCCAGTCCAAGAATAGCCAAGGTTATGCTGAGGTCTTTCAGGGAAGGCTAGATATGCTTACCCCTCCCCCTACACCTCAACACACACGCGCTGTCAGTCTAGATCGGTTGGGCCTCTGTGACCTGAACTAGGTTTCGTGATTCCATCTGAGATACCTGTTTCAGATGGCCTAGAAGTTATGGGGCTGCAGGGTGGAGTGGTGACAGAGGATCTCATACTTGGGATGTTGTTGTTGTTAAGGGCCATTGAGTCAGTTCTTACCCATAGCGACCCTGTAGGGTTTCCAAGGAGCAGCTGGTGAGCTTGAACCGCCAACCTTGCAGCTCAAAAGGCTTTACAGTCTGGCGCATTAACCCACAGCGCCAATACTTGGGATGGTGCTGGCTTAATTCTCTCCTGAAGGAGGTTCCAGCCTCAGACTCAGCATGCCTATTTTGGGTGGAAGCAGACTTGGAGACGAGCACCCAAGAGGGCAACTACAGAATCCCAGGCTCACGTCGCCTCAGTCAAACACTAAGAACGAATCTGTTGTTGTTGTTGTTAAGTGTCACTGAATTGATTCTGACTCATAGCAACCCTGTATAGGATTTTCAAGGATTGGCTTGTTGTTATTAAGTGTTGTCGAGTGGGTTCCAACCCATAGCAACCCTTTATAGGGTTTCCAAGGAGTGGCTAATGGGTTCAACTTGACCTTGTGGTTCTGTACTTATCCTAGAGCATCACACCAGGACTCTTAGGAGTGACCAGTGGGTTTGAATCACTGACCTTATTGTTAGCAGTCCAGTGCTTATCCTAGAGTGACACATCAGGACTCCTAGAGTGAATCTTATTGCTGTTGTTAAGTGCCTTTGAGCTGCATAGAGTTTCCAAGGCTTTAAATCTTTGAGGGAACAGAAAATTTCCATTTTTTTTCCTGTGGAGCAGCTGATGAGTTTGAACTACTGACCTTGTGACTCAGAGTCCAGTGCTTATCATATGGAGCCACTGTGCTCCCAAGAGTGAATCTAGAGGCTACCAAAAAAATAAAGAAGCTCTGTCCTCAAGTCAAATTCATATGTTAGAGTACAACAACCCCATAGACTTTTCTGAATTGTAATATTTGTGGAAGCAGATCACCAAACTTTTCTTCTGTGGGCCACTGGGTGGGTTGGATTCCAGTGGTCAGCCTTTAGGTTAGTAAGTTGAGCACAAATCACTGTTCTACCTAAGGACTTCCTAGAGGTTACACCTCCCTGAGAATACTTAAAAGTGACTAAACTATCCCTAAGAAGATCTCTTGACCTTGCCAAATGACTGATTTTGAATTTGGAATAAAGTTGTTTTCAATGTGCTTATTAATGGGAGTTTTCTTTCATTCTTCTGTGTAGCATTACCAACAGAATGGGTTCCCAGAGACTGAACTTCGTACTTTTATATTGGAGTGCAAAGATCTACCCAACTCTGGAAAATACAGATTAGATGACGACCCTTCAGTATCTCTTTTCTGCTGTTGTAATAAATAGCTATCAAGTTTATCTGTATTCTAGAGGAAAATGTAGCATGTAGCTGAATTGAGAGACTATATAGATACTTTAAGTGTGGCATGTTCAAAGACCAACTATTATGTTGCGCTAATGGGTATCTTTCACTCAGAACTATGTTTGTATTTTTAAAAGTGTTTTTAATGTCTTTTAAAATTTTATGCTTTATTTAAGCAGTTTTGATGAGGGCAGCCATGAGATTCTTGTCCTTGGTGATTTTTTCATAGTGTTAGAATGTGTTCTGTATGTCCTTCTTTACTCTAGCCCTTATACTTTTGCCTACAATTATTCTCCTGATGGTGTTGATTATGTCATTGGTTGAAAACAACCTCTGATCTGACAGTGACTCCAGACAACTCACTGATCTGACTGGAACCATCCCTACGAATGTGGAGATGGTTGATGGCTATCCAGTAATCATTACATTAATTTTTTTTTTCCCAGGGACAGGATAAGAAAAAAACAACCATCACCAGTTGCTTGATCAGTTGTTAAACTGCTATTTAAATTTGTTCTTAATTCTGAAGAGAATTATTTATAAGAATTTTCTTTCATCCTTCAGTGTTAAAGTATAAAGTTGAAAGAAGGTCATATATATACATATAAATTTGATATAATATCAAGTGTACATTTGATGCAACAATGATCATTTTACTAGTACTTTGTACAGCCTTGAGAAAACTATGTGATGTACTATACCCTGTTTTGGTATTTCCAGAACTAGAGTTTCATGGTGAGAAGTTCTCTAACTCACATTAAAAATACTTGGAAAAATAATTATGCTGAAAATTTTTAAATAAGTGGGCATTATATACCTTTAAAAAGATACAGAAACCAAGTCCTTAGTGTCACTTACTTGTAGGGATTGTCACAATATGAGTCTTTGTGTACTATTTATTAAAATACAAGCAAATTCAATAATGTACAAAGATGTTTTATCAAAACAAATTTTTTTTTTGAAATAACTGATTTTTTTCTTTTTAAAATATGCTTTGTTTCAAGGCTAAATGAAGACTGTGTTGAGACATTGATATGTTACTATTTAATCATCATAATGACCACACACACACAAAAAGTGATTCTCGGTACTGGGTTCTGAGGTTTTACAATGGTATAAGTTATTTTTGTAGTACCTGTGACTTTTAAAAAAATGAAGAAAAAAATCGAAACAATTTGGTGAGTCTTTTTCTGGCTTTGTTCATTGTTGTTGGTGTTCTGGCTTAATACTAATATTAGATCACAATCATTTTTAGAATTTATTATAAGTCAAGGTGAATTTTGAAATTGTGTTTACTACCTGATGAATCCTTTTCTTTACTCCTTGCAAAGTTTTTAGACTAGCAACAATATTCAATGGAAATACTAAACCACTGACCCAGTGTTTGACCCAGGGTTTTGCTCTACTCTGACAACATTATGTTTCTGCTGTGGAATTACAGCTATTGGTTTGGCACCTTCCTGTCTCTCTCCTGATTCCCTAAGCTTTGCTATTGCAGTATGAGTCCCTGAAAAATTCAATGGTCTTAATTTTTTGTAATGATACCCATGAGAGAATGACTACTATTTTTTTAAAGAAACATTATAAAGTATTGACTGTAGTAGGATTATCATTAGACTGAACTATAAGATTGGCAGTTCGGACCCACCAGCCACTCTGTGGAACCCTATATAGGGTTGCTATGAGTTGGAATTGACTCGATGGCACTTAACAAAAACAACTTTTTTGAATTGCCCCTAAACTAGTTCAATGGCCTGATCTTGGTTGGCAGATTAAAAAAAAAAAAAAAAGAAGCTAAAATAGTATTTTTGTTGTTATTGTTAAGAAGTTCCTGCAACCCTACGTGCAACAGAATAAAACACTGCTTGGTTCGAAATAGTATTAATATATTGTTGGAGGAACTGACAAATAAATCATTAAGTAGAATAGTGAGCTCGGAAATATCATTGTTATTATTGTTGTTTAAGTACCGTCAAGTCGGTTCTGACTCATAAAGACCCTATAGAGGGTTTCCAAGGAGCGGCTGGTGAGTTTGAACCACCAACCTTACAGTTTAAACTGTCCTTGAGGCCTAGTGCTTATCCTACAGTGCCACACTAGGACTCCAAAACAATGTGTGGTCTTGCCTGATCTTGCACCATCCTCACAGTGTTAATGTTTGAATCCATTGTTACAGCCACTGTGTCATTTCACACTCTACCAGAAGTCCTGGGTGTGGTGCTGTAGGATAAGAACTGGACTGTTAATGACAAGGTTGATGGTTCAACACCACCAGCTGCTCCTTGGAAACAAGTCGCTATGAGTCTGAACCAACTCAGTGACACTTAACAACAGCAACTACTCCTTGACTAAGCGTGATGTCCTTTTCTAGGAACTGGTCTCTCCTGATGATATGTCCTAAGTACTTTACATAAAATCTTGCCATTCTTGCTTCTAAGGCAGCATTCTGGTTGTACTTCTTACCAGGTAGATTTGTTCATTCTTCTTGTAGTCCGTGGTATATTCAAAATTCTTCACCAGCATCATTCATGATTCAAAGGCATCAAGTCTTAAGTCTTCCTTTAAAAATTCCATGAGGCAATTGAAAGTATCATGGCTTGAGTCAGGAGAACCTTAGTCCTCAAAGTGACATTTTTCCTTTTTAACAATTAAAAGATGTCTTTTGATGCAGATCTGATCAATACAATATTTCATTTGATTTCTGGACTGTAATTTACATGGGCATTGGTTGTGGATCCAAGTAAAATCCTTGACAACTTCAAGCTTTTCTCTGCTTGTCGTGATGTTGCTTATTAGTCCAATTGTGAGGATTTTTGTTTTCTTCATATTGAAGTGTATTTTTTCATCATGATTAGTAAGTGTTTCACACCTCTTCACTTTCAGCAAGCAAAATTATGTCATCTACATATCTCATGTTGTTAATGAATCTGCCTCTAATCCTAGTGTTTCGTTCTTCTTCATACAGCCCAGTTTCTTGAATTTTTTGCTCATTCATATTCAGGCACTCATTATATACTCATTTATATTTGGGAACTGCATAAAGTTGGTACCATAAGACAAGAAGCAGATGGGTTTTAAACACAGGGTAGGCAAACTGTGGCCCATGGGGCAAATCTAGCCAACCATCTGTTTTAGGATGACCCTTGGAGTAAGAAAGAAAGCGCTGGTAGCACAGTGATTACATACTTGATTGCTAATTGAAAGTTTAGTGGTTCAAATCCACTACCCACTCCAAGGGAGAAAGATGTGGCAATCTGATTCTGTATGGATTTGTTGTTGTTGAGTGCCTTCAAGTTGGTTCCAAGTCATAGTCATGCTGTATAGGATTTCTGAGTGTTGGGGTTTAGGCCCAGAAGGGAAAACCCTTCTGCATACATAGGTGCTGAGAGACCAAAAGGGAAAAAAAAATGACCAGGATCCAATCCAAGAGACATTAGTTTATTACAAAAAAAAATAAAATAAAAGAGATGGTGTACTGCCAAAGGAAGTTACTTACAAGGGACATAAAATAGTTGTTTCCAATGGCAGTGGCTGGGAAGTGAAGTTTTTCCTCATGAGGGTTGTGAGCTAGGGTTATTTTATTCATGGGGTACAAGCTTCACACATATCAGGGCAGTTAAGGGTGGTATTTGGAACTAAGAGACGTAGGAAAACCATAAGATGTAAGGCTGCCTGTCGCTCCCTAGAGAACAGAGTTTGGTATGCATAGTGCGAGAAGGGGGCTGTCTGTTCTTCCTAGATAGCTGGAGCAGGGAGTTGGAATAGGATATATGGTTTGAAGTGACATTAGCATGGTCATTTCCATTTAGGTCACTACACTAAACCTGTAAATCTTACGGAAGCAGAAAGCCTCATCTTTCTCCCAAGGAGTGGCTCGTAGATTCAAACTTCTGACCTTGCAGTAGCAGCCCAATTCGTAATCCACTACTCTACCAGGCTCCTTGACTGTATAGATTGTTATTGTTGTTAAATGCTGTAGAGTCAGTTCTGACCCACAGCAACCATGTATAGGGTTTCCAAGGAGCAGCTGGTGAGTTTGAACTTCCGACTTTGCAGTTCAAACCAACTTTGCAGTCCAGCGCATTAACCCACAGCGCCACACCAGGACTCCCTATATAGATTACGGCTTTATGGGTCAATTCTACTATAAAGTCACTTTGAGTCACATAATCAACTCAATAGCAATGGGTTACGGGTGACCTAAGAATGGCTTTTATATTTTTAAATAGTTGAACAAAGTCAAGAAAAAGAATAATTATTTATGACCCATCGAACACAAACTTGCTCATTTGTTTAGGTGTTGCCTGTGACTGCCTCTCCACTATAGTGGTAGTGTTGAGTAGTTGTCACAAAGAGCATGGTTTTTGTTTCTGTTTTGTTAGGTAACCTTGATTCCTCGCTGACTTATAGCGACACTATACACAACACAACAAAACACTGTTGGGTCCTACAAATCATCACAATTGTTATGTTTGAGCCCAATGTTATAGTCACTGTGTCAGTCCATATCCTTAGGGCTTCTCCTCTTTTTTGGTGACCCTTTATCAAGCATGATGTCTTTCTCCAAATATTGGTCCCCTTTGATAAAATGTGTGAAGTATGTGAGATGAAGTCTTGCCATCTTCGCTTTTAAGAGGCATCTGACTATTTTTTCCAAGACAGATTTGTTTGTTCTCTGGCAGTCTATGGTATTTTCAGTATTCTTCAACAAACCATAATTCAGATGAATCAATTCTACTTTAGCCTTCCTTACTCATTGCCCAACTTTCATATGCATTTGAGACTATTGAAAATACTATGACTTAGCTCAGGCAAGACGTCAAAATGACATCTTTGCTCTTTAACACTTTAAGCAGGTCGTTTGCAGCAGATTTGCCCAGTACAATATGTTGTTTGATTTCTTGACTGCTGCTTTCAAGGATTGATTGTGGATCCGAGTAAAATGAATTGCTTGACAGTGTCAATCAACCTTTTCTCCATTTATCATGGTGTTGTTTATTGGTCTAGTTTTAAGGATTTTCATTTTCTTTATGTTTAGGTGTAACCCATACTGAAGGCTATATTTTTTCATCCTCATCAGTAAGGGCTTCAAGTCCTCTTCACTTTCAGCAAGCAAGGTGGCGTCACCTGCAAATGGAAAGTTGTTAACGAGTCTTCCTCCAATTCTGATGCCACAGTTTTTTTCATATAGTCTAGCT